GAAAAAGTAAGGTTGCAATTACTTTTCTGACTGTATTGGTTGAAGTTACTGTAGATGACCATTTTAGCTATTTTACATAAGGAGTATAATTTTTTATTTATTTTATTAATAAAATATATTTTAAATATTATTTTTTCATAAATCAGTAGAATCAGCCATTCAACTAGAATTTCATAAATTTCAAAAGAATCTGTCAATTCAACTGATTTTGGTATTGCCAAACGGGCTCATATTCTCTTCGCAACATCTTTATTTATATTTACTCTTTCGAATTTTCCCAACCTAATTTGTTGTCGTGCATCGCACGGGTGGAGTTCTAGTTTGATTACAAAGAAACGTAAAGTTTATCTGACGAGAATGGATAAGGAAGAAATATATAACCTATTCAAAATATGCATTCCAGGTGCGGCTCCATTAAATATTTGTATTATGCTCTTTAGTGTGTGCTTAAATAAGTAAACTAGATTATTTAATTATTCACTAAACTAAAGTATTCCTATAAAACTATTTACATTATGGTTTCTGGTTGTTTTTAATACCCTATGCCTTTTTAGAGTAAATAATATTATAAATACATCTCAGCTATGTCCGAGATTACATCTTTATCATGAAGAGGATCTCTAAACATGTGCGCTTTTTTTTAAATGCTTTAGTCATGATTTTGATGTGTTTTATAGGATTGGAACTGCTTTTATAGCTTTTGGAAACCATAAGTGTGGACCAGCGTGATGATGTTGCTTCTCTGCCAGCTCACTGATCCCACTCACAACGTCACTTGTGGAAAACACTGATATTGCTCGTAGTTTAAGTTTTACTTGTGCAACGTTCTCTTATGTTGTATTATAGACTCTTGAGCTGGTGTAAAGTTGTGCTGTTTAGTTTCTTCCTGGTAACCTCTCCATCCAATGTTATAAATACAAATGTCATTTTTATGCTGATATGTATTGAGTGATAGTATTGAGTGAAGTTTTACAAGACTGACCACTATATGACATCACCTTATCAGGAATCGCTAATGCTATTGACCTTGCTGGTAGATTCCTTCCCAAACTTCAGGCTTTGAACGGTAAGTAAGGATGTTTTTACTTGGACTGTAATTTGCTGGTCTGATCTAGTCTGATTTGTTCTGTTTTGGTCTGGTCTTGTCTTCTCTGAAATTTTGTTTTTATATTTTTTGCATAAAGATTTTATTTTTTTATATATATTATAATTCATAAATAATTATATTTTATTCATTTATAATTACAAATAATAATAACAATAACAACAACAACAACAACAATAATAATAATAATAATAAAATATGGTCTGGTCTGGTCTGGTCTGTTTTAGTCTGATCTGATCTATTTTGGTCTGGTCTGGTATGGTCTGGGACGAATTACAATCCAAGTAAAAACAACTGTAATTTCTAATTAGTAAGTATGTTGTTCTAATTTGTAGTCTCGGATGCAAGTTGGGAGTTATGAATGTGGTTATTATGTAATGTTGCATATGTTGAATATTTTTTCGGCGGTAATTCTTGAAATGTGGGATGAAGTACGTTATTATTTTATTTACATTCAATAGGTTTGCTCCACATGTAATGTTTTTTAATAACCTTCTCGTTTAATTTGTAGCGATTCGCCAATCCGGAACCATTCTCATCAGAAGAGATTGATGAAGTATGGACTCGTTGGGCATCATATTTCTTAGAAATGACGCAATCCATCAACGAGATCAACGACACATGATGAACGTGTTTGTTTAAGTTTTTTAGTGATGATGTTAAACAAGTACAATGTGTTATTACTCTAGACTTGTGCAAGGATTGTTTTATTTTAGCTTGTTATTATGTACTAAGTTGTTACTTGAACTTGTTTAACATTTGTGGAAGAATTGAAAAATAGCTTGTGTTATTGTTTTAGATGGATCAAGTGAACATGTGAAAAATTGTGCTATAGTAGTTGATGACAGTGTTAATGATGTGATTATAGTATAAACAGAGGTCATATTGCAAAATTTTTGCATGAAAAATACCGAAAAATTGAAGCTTTTCACATCAGTTGTGAAATAACCGATGTGATTGCTTTTCTACATGGGTTTATAACCGATGTGAAACACATATGTTCCGAAAAAACGAAGCTTTTCACATCAGTTGTGAAATAACCGATGTCATTTCTTTTTTACATGGGTTATAACCGATGTGAAACACATATGTTCCGAAAAACAACGAAGCTTTTCACATCAGTTGTGAAATAGCCGATGTGATTTCTTTTTTACATGGGTTATAACCGATGTGAAAAACCAATGCTCCGAGAAAAATTAAAGCTTTTCTACATCAGTTATAAAATAACCGATGTGGTTTCTTTTTTACATGGGTTATAATCGATGTGAAATATCATTAAAAACGTCGTTTCGGCCTATCTTCTAGATCGTGCACTAAACGACCGATGTAGAAAAAATTTTAACATCGGCTGTTTGACCGATGTCAAAAGTCAATACTTTTCACATGTGCTGGAACAACATCGGCTGTTTGACCGATGTGAAAAGGCTTTTTTGACCGATGTGAAAAGCCTTTTTTGTACTAGTGAATTTACTCAAATTGAGTTACTACCTCCGTTCCAATTTGATGTTCCTAGTTCCTATTCACTTGATCAACACAAATCACTCTTAATCTCTTACTTTATATATCAATTTTTATCAAATTTGATTCTGATTTTTGCGACTTTGTAAAGATTTTAATGTAGTTGTTGAATATTTTAAAAAAAATTCTAAAAATAATTTGAGTGGGGAGGACTGCATACAAAGATATGTTTGCTTTATTGTCGGTTAAGCAACACAACAAGAACATCAAATTAGAACGGAGGAAGTGTAACTTATAAACATACTCTGTCCCAATTTGTTTTGCGCATCAAATTCTACACGAGTTCGAAGTGAAATCAGAAACATTTGTGAATATATGGTTAATCTGTAACTTTTAATTAATGCATTGTGAATGAAGTTGGAACAATAGTTTTAGAGCTCCGATCTATCTTTCCGTTTGGAGCGTATTATATCTCGTTGGAAAGATAGATCGAAGCTCTAAAGTTATTGTTCCAACTTCATTTACAATGCATGTTATAACCACAAACCTAAATGAGAAAGTTTGTTGAGTCTAAAGGTAAAAAGTTAGGGTCTGTTTACTAACAGAGATATTTTCCAGTTTTTCATAAAACTGGAAAACTAGAAAACAGAAAACAGGAAACGTGTTTACCAAAGAAAATTGCTGGAAAACTGGAGAAAGGAAAACGGAAAAGCGCGTTTACCAAACCGTTTTCCAAAACGAAAAAATGAGACATGTCTCTATTTTCCTTAATGATTTGGAGAAGTGGTTTATGGATTGAAATTAAGTGCCTTGCAAGCTAAAATCCCCGCCACAATGATTGAAGAAATCACAAAAATACAATTATCAAAAGTTGTTTTTAAGACGATTTCTAATTAAAAAAATAGTTTGTACTCTCTCCGTCCCTAAAAGGATTGCCAAGTTTGATTGACACGTAGAATAATAAAGTAAAAACTGCGTGGTAGAGATTTGTGAAGAGGAGAGAGAAATAACAGGAGCCGCAAATTAATTGATTAAAAGGAAAATTGATAAAGTTTTTGGGACAACCAAAAAAAGAAAGTCGGCAAAGTTATAAGGGTTGGAAGGACTATTTAATAAGAAAAATCTCATTTGGCCTCCATGCAAAATGCATAAAAAATCAAGTTTGTATCATAAATTGCCAAACTAGTTTTACTCATAGATGGATATTGTCTCTTAAAAATTCACTTCAAAACTACAATACTAAAAGTAGTGATATGCTTTCTTGGGGTTTGCTTTTGTGATCCAAAAAAGGGTGCTCATTCAACCCGTTCCGATGTCGATTTCATTCAAGTACATCCATTCTCGTACCTTACCCCTATCCTACCCTGCCCACCCAACCCCCCACACCGCATACCCCTTTCCTTACAATGACCCCACCCCCACCCCTACCAAATGCCCCTACCTCGGTCCCACTCCGATCCACCTTACCCTACCGCCACCCCTACCACCTCAACCCCACCCTGATCCACCCTACCCTACCCCCACCTCGTATATACCCCTTACCCCTACCTTATCCCTTCCCACATGCTCCCTACCTCGACCCCACCCTACCGCCATCCTACCCTCACCCTTGTACGCCATCCTACCCTTCCCCTACCTCGGCCCACCCTGGTCCTGACCCCACCATACCATCATCCTATCCTAACTCCCTACCCTACCCTACCCCTACCTTACCCCAACCTCAACACTACTCACTACCCCCACCCTTACCCCTAACCACCACCATAACCCATCCACTACTCTACCCAACCCCCGTACCCCTAGACCTTACCACCCACCCCGACCATACCACTTACCCCAACCCCACCCATACCTTGCTTCCCTACCCCGACGCCTACGAGTAGGTATGTGTGGGTATGAAGGGTTTTAGGAGAGTATGGATATAGTGTAAGATCGTGGTAAGGGTAGAGGTAGGGGTCAAGGGTGTGGAATTGGGTGTAGGGTGTAGGGTGGGGGTACGAGGTATAGGGGCAGGGTAGAGGTTAGGAGTATGGGTACACCGTACACGTACGAGATGATCGACCCTACATATTATATTATATATTTGCGTTCATGAATGTTTGTGTGTCTATATATGTATAAGGTTATTTTGGACATTTTAATGTTAAACGATGCTTTAAACCTTTTGAAGTAAACATGATCTTATAACATTGCTTATTTTATGCGTCGCTTATTAACGCGAGTCTTAATAAGCACCGTTTAGTAACCCGTGAAGTAAACATGTCAGTCTTCTGGATGATCACTGAACTGGGTGAAAAAATTGATGAACATGTTTTCAGATTTGAAAATGGAAAACTAGAAAATAGAAACAGAAAACTGAAGATAGAAAAAATGAAAAATAAAAACAGAAAATTGGAAAAGTAGAAAATATAAAAATGTAAAGATGCCCTTCACTTCTGGGGAAAAAAGAGCCTCAAGTTTCAGCGGCCTGTATCGGAGTAATTTGACTCGGAGTCGAATATGGAATACTCCGTCTAAAAATATGATAATTGCCTGCCTCGCCTTCTCGTAATCCATACTGACGAAATTCAATTCTCGTCCTGCTAGACAAGCGATGTCTTCGGCCGAGACACCGGAAGTTAGGAAAATCACATCAAAAAGCTCCGACGGAGAGTTTTGAAGTGAAAGAGATAAAGCACATGATTAAGGACGAGACGGCGGCGCAAGAGTCGCAGACGGTAAAGCAAATCAGAGAGGACGGCTGAACAGACAACTGCGCCCCTTCACGGTGCCAATGCTATCACGGAGATACTCTCAAATTAAAGGTGATAGAATCATAGAATACTTCCGGAAGCAGGCTGATTTTTATTGTACGATGCCAATGTTACCACGGAGATATTGTACAATGAATTATATAAAAAAATATTTCACAAGGAACTCACTTCTTAGCTCTTTTTATTTGGCAATAAATACTTCGCTCTACCTTATACTAATCTGAATTCATTATAATCTAGAGATCAGCTTTAATACAAACTTCTCTAAACTGTTCCACAAATTGCCGCAAGAAATCCAATGGCGTATTCCACACTTATTTAAACCACTTTACTTCTAGCGCAATAATCAAGATGCAGAATCTTTATCATTGACCTGAATTGTGTTCTTTTATTATCATGAAAGCTTTTGACTTGCATACTAGTGTGTAATATTTCAGTCTTCAAACTACCTGAATATCAAGAACCTTTTGGATCTGACATGACAGACTGTGGCTGATTTGATTAATTATAATAACCCAGAAGAGGTTCGCAGGATATTCAACATTGAGAATGTCTTCACACCTGAAGAGGAAAAGGAGATCCGCTGTGAGAACCAGTGGGCTTTTGAATAAGATGTTATGTATAGATGAGCACTCACATCCTATTATACTAGGACTAGGAAAGTTTCAATTTGGATTTAAACTGTAGTTGTTTTTTGGCACCACTTCACCCAATGCATTTTATTATAGTACTAGATTCATTCTATTTCAATCAATCAGTGTTCTGTTTTTTTTTTTTGCTTTTGTTCACACTTTTAACTCAAAACAAAAACTTAAGCAAGCATCTTTTTTATAGATTCATGATATCACCCAATATATTTCTGGATTTGCCTCTTATGATTGTACGTGTATGTCATATTACTGATATATCATTATTCACCGATAAACACCCATAAGTGATGGACTGGACACCTGACAGATTCATTCTCAATTCAGTTAAGATGTGATCTTTGGACTTATTTTACTCATTATTCTGAAGTAACACCTCTATTCTAAATAGATGTAGCGACAGATGAGATGACTATTTTGGGGAACAATTTTATCTGACGTAACTTGCCAGCCCTATTCGCTGTGGCATGTGGACAAGCATGCATGTTAATTGGGGAGTACTTTGGGTCTCATGGGGAGCCTTCTTTTAAGCTCTTTTTATAGGGTTATTATTTATCTTTCTATTAGAATGGTCTTTAATTTATTAATAAGAGTGCATCATGATTGATACTAAATGTTACAAAGCATGTCATCATTTGCAGAACTGGTTCTTGGAGTGTTATTCATGTACTCAACTGGCCTTTACCCTTTGCAAAAAAGATTCATTAGTTGTCACATTATGTTCATAGCTTCTTCTAAAAGGGCTTCCTAAATTTCTCATTTCCATGCATCCCTCGTAATACCAAATCTTAGCACACAATAGGATTTGATGCAGTAATGCGTTTGCTAGCACTGTTAGTTGTTTCACTCATTTGCTCGATTCACAATAGGAACTGAAGAAAATTAACCAATTAATTAGCAAAAAAACTAAATAGAATTAAACAGTGTTAAGACACTCCAATCATTTTATTATACGGAGTAATAACTAGACAAAATAACTTGGTAAATTTGCATGTGCATAAACTTTAAAAAAGACACCACGATACATTATGACAAGTGGCATGCTCATTTTCACTCCAATAAAGTAACAATGTAAATGCTAGCATCCATGTGATGCTTCCTTCTGAGTCTAATAATTGATGTACTTTTGTGTTCTTCTAGTTTTGCTTGGCTTAGTGTAACTAAGCATGATCTCTTTGATACCCGAGTCTTAAAAACAAAAGTGGCTGTTTAATTTGCCGGATTTTATTTTCATATTGACTACCTATGAACTTGAGTATGATCTGTACATGTTGCAACAATGATTTATTCATCCATCAATCTGTCCCCTGTGTGTTACTCTGTGCTGACAACTATTGGACTTCGAACTGTGTACTTGCCACTTTTCCAGGTAATTAAACTAAAGATGTCTTTCTTTGGTGTTGACTTAGCTGTGACAGTCACTTTGTAAGTTACCTTCTTTATGCCTCTAGTAAAAACTAACTTTTTAGGGGATACTGTGACGTCCATGCCCCTATCTGCTGTGATAGTTGCAGTGTACACCGAATTTTCATCACCAACATTAGTTACTTTTCTGGTTACTATCTTAGTTTCACCTTGGTTGAGCTTTGATATGGCTATTGAAGGATAGTTGAGGTTAGAGATTGAATCTGGAGACAAATCATGGGGGCACTCAAAGTCTTTTCTAGTTGTTGATGAGATGAGCCTAATTTGGGATGTGTTATAGCCCGTAGCACATAAGAATAGCACGTAATCTTCAATCTCCGTCTCGTAAACCAGCCCGGGGTCTAATGCCGATGTGGGGTTGACTTGACCTGCCCCGTAGTCATACGGCGTTGCAATTGATCCAGATGAAGTTCTTATTGGTCCATTGTGGTTGTTTGTCTGTGTGGCTGGTCATAGCAAATTCCAAAGTATGAGGTTAGTAATTAATAAAAAATGCATTATATCTGGAAGGATTAACCCCATGAAAGAGTGTCTCTGGTGAGACAAGTACCTCAATAGACCTCTCTTCCTAAATGAGGTTGGACAACCTGAGGGCGGATAAATATGTCACATGGACATTAAACATTATCCTAAATCACTGATGCCACAAAAACAATCGAACTAGAACCAAATTTGTGTTTAATATCATATTAGAATTTGAGGTTCCACTTTAAAAGCTCAATTTGATAAGAGAAATAGCCAAAATCTTATACTACATATTTTACTTTATTGCTTGTACACCAAAATCTTATACAAAAATTTAAAACTATCAGAGTATCAGAGCAATATGTCCATGGAATATATACAAATGAGATGTTGTTTTACCTGTGGTCATAATAGCTGATCTAATTGCTGATACACTAAATGCAGGGTTATGAGCCTTAACCACAGCCGCAACTCCTGATATATGTGGGCAAGACATAGACGTGCCTGATTCTAGATTGTAACCTGGATTTTTGCCCGGAATCATGGACCCATCTGATTTGTCATCATCAGGCCATGCAGCTAGAATGTTAACCCCAGGTGCAGTAATATCAGGCTGCAAATCCCAAAGCAAATTCATCCATTTGTTATCTCATTTTTTGATTTGTTTATTTTGAATTAGTGATGCATTTATATTTTTCCAATAGTAAAAATTAGATCTATTCTAGAATATTCCACGTTAAGTAGTTTCTGTATAGAATCTAGAAAAATCTATAACTATTGAATGTTCTAGATCTCTAATAAAGTAAAAATTGTGTGGTTGATGTTTATGCAGAGGAGAGAAAAATGATAGGAACCACAAAGTAATTGGTTAAAAAGAAAGTGTTAAAGTTTTTAGAACAATAAAAAAAGGAAAGATGACAAAGTTATAAGAGACATATGGAGTAATATTTAATAATATGTTCAATTAATAGGACTCTTGCAAGATTCAATTAATTTCACCATTTTAAACAATTATAAGAGACATACGGAGTAATATTTAATGGTAACACTAAAAATGACTGAATTAATTGAATCTGCTTAAAATGGTGAAATAATGGCTGAAACGTATGACTAAAATGGCTAAATCTACTGATTATAAATTAATTATACATAAAATTAATGTTATTAATAAAACAAAGAAAATTATATGTATTATAAAGTAGCTAAATAGTCATCATCAACAAATTCTGCTAGAAAAGTATTTCCAACATTACTTATTTTGATTATTAAACAATTCAACACGCAAAACGAAAGGTATATTGTTACGGACCTAGCCCATACTAGGCCCATATCATTGTCATAAGCCATGCGTAGAACTCACTCCCAAAAGACCAGCCAATTAGGAGGAGAGAACACAGTGCTTATAAGCCACCGGTAAAGTCCATACTTGACCGGTGTGAGATCGTTACAATACCCCACGCTTCGAAGAGCCAACGTCCTCGTTGGTCGCAACTATGTTGGTCACGGTTGGCACCCCCTAGGGTCCAAGCCACCACTCCATAGGCCACCACTCAGAGTGTCGGGACCAGGAAGATGGGGATGACTCTGATACCAATTGTTACGGACCTAGCCCATACTAGGCCTATATCATTGCCATAAGCCCATGTGTAGAACTCACTCCCAAAAGACCAGACGATTAAGAGGAGGGAACACATTGCTTATAAGCCACCGGTCAAACCCATACTTGACCGGTATGGGATCGTTACATATATGTTTGGAAAAACTGTTAGTTGATAAGGATGATAAGCCGAAAACAGAGATTACCAAATGGGCTATAACTAAATTTAATGCATTTTAAATTCTTTAAATATTAGAGCTCCATCTTAAATATCTCTATTGACTCTACACTACACCTACCAAAACACTAAACATATTCAAATTGCCTACAATCACTTTTATTTTCTAACTTAACCATAGGAAGAGTATCATAGAGAAGAAAATGTATCATGCCTTGAGAAGATTTAGGCTAGTAAGCGAAGGGCCTCTTGATGAAAAAAAGATTACTGCTGGAGCTGGTTCCTGTCCTAGTGTTGTGACAGTTGGGAGGATTGTCGCCACCGGGTGTCTTCATCGTGAAAAATTCACATCACAGATTCGCAGGTAAAAGAATTTACTACCATTGCAAATTGATTTGCAAAATCAACTTTTTTGGGTCAAACTTTTTCATTTCATTCATTTTATTAGGGAGTCAAGTTTTAATTATATTCTAATTTGAATTTTGCTACTTTATAGAGATTTTAATGTAGTTAATGAATATATAAATTTTAAATATTAAAATTGAATTGATTATCAATAGGGAGAATTTAACTTGTCCAAAAAATGTTGACTTTGCCAATCAATTTGGGTTGGAGGAAGTAATATTATTGATTGATATACTAATTACTTGGCTGAGCTAATGTAAGAGAGTATTTTGTTGCCTTCCTTTTGTGTAACCATAGACGCCGGAAAAGTATCAAATTTCAGGGCAATGAGGCTATATTCATCACTGGTTGTCGCTATTATTCCCAGCCCACCTGCACTTTTGACCTCATTTGCCATCCACATATAATCATAGAAACTGTCTTGCTCTTGGTTTTCACATACAATAATGTTACCGTTCACCTTGACAGGGTTTAAAGTGTCTGAGACGCATGCCCTAAAACCACCACTGCCATTAGTCAGTAATTACTGCGGAGTATGATCACTAGTCACTACAAACTTAAGCAGTAACAAATAACACCTGCTTCCTATAAATAAAGAGCACTATCTCATCAAGGGATAACTTTCTAATTTTAGTGAGGTGCAACTGTAGCGGAAATAATCTATTCTAGCTATATTGAAAAGAAAAATCTGTTTGTACATGTTTTTTTATAGAAGTTGTCTGTATACTCCGACAACTGTGCGAAACCTGTACAAAAAAAATGTTTACACCAAGCACCTCTCATAGTCAGCATGATATATTGGACTGGGCCGATATAACAAATTTACCCTAATAATTTAAACAAAATTGAATTTTGAAGTAGGACGGGTCTAAGGTAGTCCCTAGCTACGCCCCCGCCTTATTTCATAATACTATGTACGTTTTTTAAAACGACACTTCTTGTCCTACGGAATATTTTTTATGGGACGGAGGGACTTCATGCATTTGTAATTATACTAATTAAAAGACACATACCTTGCGTCACTTTGGGTAGCATTATCCCATTTAACCGAAGCTCCGGTGACCAATGGGTACACTGGAGTTTTTTTGAGTTTGCTGAATTGAATGGCCGTGCCCTATTTCTCAAAGCATAGCAATTAATTAGGAAAAACACAATAATGCTGAAATGAAAAAATTCGTAGATTTAACCACTTAACTTATGTAGCCTTCTGGAGATCATGTGAAGTTTTTATCAGAATACCCCCAAGTACATACTCCCTCCGTTCCTAATTAAACTTCCAAATTTCCTTTTTCGTCATCCCAAAATAAATTTTCACTTTGCCTTTTTGGTAAAGAATTTGTGGTTCACAACAATTCTTACACATTCTTACACAACTTCTATCTCCTCTGCACAACTCCTCACTACACAATAAGCACTATCTTAATCCCCGCACCACACGATAACCACTATCTTAATCTCCATACCAAATGTACTTTGGAAGTTAATTTAGGGACAAAGAGAGTACCACATTATCAAACTACCCCTTTTCTTATTTAAATAATAAAATCTTTAGAAATTACATAAAACCTCTCGAGATTTAAGAGGTAAACTCTACTTCCTCGTTCACTCTCTATACTCTACCTTCTCTATGAAAACCCTAGACCACTCGTCGAGTCCGCTCTGAAGAAGCTGTCAACTAGAAGATGAACTAAGCTGGCGACCACAAAGTTATAAACTATAAGCTGTTGACGATGAAGTTGGCTTCAAGAGGAAGAAAGAAGTTTGCAATGAAGCTATTGACGACGAAGCTGTTGACCAGAAGCTGCGAGGAAGCTGGTGACAGACTGACAGAAGGGTGTAAGCGATGGAGCTGACCATTCCTCAGCCTCAAACGAGAATACACCATGTTTGTCTTGTTCGACCAGATTCGAAAATGGTTGACATGTTTGACGAGGTTCAACCATTTTCGATCATGTTCACCAGGTTTGACCACATTTGTAAAGGTCGACCTGTTTGATCAGACGTGTTGAAACCCCTAAAAAGTTTCTTTTTAAGGGTACCCTCAAAACATCAAAACTTTAAAGGTAGTTTGATGGTAAAACTTTTTTATTCTATTAATAGGACTACCTAACTCCTATTTAGGGAAGAAAACATATTTAATCACATTTAATATTTTTACCTATATTTTAGTCATATTTTGATCAATTTCTTTTAATATAATTGGCTAGTGTGGGCTAACCTCGATCACTTTGTTTCCTCCCAAGATGATTTGTGACCGGAAGTGGCGGTCGAGTGTGGAGGCGGCGACGGTTAGGATCCACGGAGCATCATTGACAACGGTGCTAGTGTCGGGACCACCGTTCCCAGCCGAGCATACGACGACGATGCCTTTCTCCACAGCATGGAAGGAGCCGATGGCAATAGGATCTTTTGAGTAGTCTGTTTTTTCTCCATACCCTCCACCCAGAGACAATGACAGCACATTCACTCCATCCTTAATTGCATCATCGAAACCTTTTAAAATGTCTGATCCTAGGCACCCTCCGTATGTAGTACAGACTTGGTACATGGCAATTCTCGAAGTGGGGGACCCACCTTTGGCTGTCCCTGAAGCCAGTCCGTAGTATGACGCGCCGTGGGCGAGGGAGCCTGCTGCCGTGGAGGCAACGTGGGTTCCATGACCATTATGGTCCCTCGGTGACCCTCTCTTTGAACTCCCTGAATAGTATTTAGCCCCGATGATTTTCCTGGTGATGATTAAGTTACAAATAAAAAGTAAAAACCCCAGAAGTGGAACCGGATTATAGCAATTATATTTTTAATGAATCGGACATAAGTTTTCTAGTTTGGTTTTTTCTGTTTAAATCTGATTTGGGTTAGTCTGGACTAGTTTGATTTGACCTAATAAATATATGTTTTATGTATATTTTATAATTGTTGAAGGCTGGTCTAGTCTAATCCGGTTTGATATGAGACTTTAAACCATTTCAATTTGAAATATTCTAAAAGTAGTTATGAAGATAAAGAGAGCTTAAAACAGATTTTCCTTCTTCTGTAATAATACACTAATACTCTGTACTTCAATAAAAAATACACTAAAATGTACTACCTCCGTTCCAAAATGATGGTTCTGTATTTCCTATTTGGGGTGTCCCAAAATGATAGTCACTTTTCCCTTTTTGGAAAAGAAATTAAAGTAGACTATCATTTATACCCCTCCTTTTTAATGAACAGTAAAAGTAAAGGGATGAACAGTACAATAAAGTAAGGTCATATGGGTCCTTCCACCTCTTTTTCTTAATATTTGAGCTCAAAAAGTATAGGACCATCGATTTGGGGCGGAGGGAGTACAAAGTATCTTTTTACAAAAAAACAATACTCCATAATTTCTACTTATTAACAATCACTTTTATTTAAAAATACTATCAACCTTTACCTTCCCCATTAGATATTTTCTCTACAATCTTCAAAGTAAATCACTTTTCACTATCAACTACAAACACAACAAAAACATTTATACAATTGACTGAAGTGAGTGAATTTAGTAAGCATGCCAACATGCTCACAATGAAACAAGTTGACCGATGAACAAGGATTCTCCCATCTTAAGAATGTTAAAATTTATATTAAGATATGAGATTTCATTCTAAAAGGTCAACCTGGTAGGAGGATTAGTGCAAAGTCTTATATAATATTTTATTGTTTTCTTTTACCCCGGAAGGTCGAGGGCCTGGAGTAAACTGGGATCAAATTCACTCCATTGAGTATTGAACCTGAGACCTCCCATAAGGGAGAGTGAGTCAACGACCGGTTGAGATGGACCACTTCCTCATTTAATGTTTTATGGTTTTATAGTGTTCTGGTGTGAGTCAAATACTTCAATACGTCCCCTCAAATGGGCCATTTATACCCCCTCAAAGCGTATAAATGGGCCAGATAAATCTTTAAAAGGCTACCTTTAATCATGAGTGCTAAACAAGCAGTCAAATCACAACCGGACCCGACTCTGGTACCATGTTAAGATCTAGGGTTTCATCCTATGTTTTATTGTTTTATATCGTTCAAGTTTGGGACAAATACTCAAAAGTCTACGTCACTCGTCTCTCATCCCGTCAACATGGAACACAGTGAACATGTTGGCATGCTCATTATTTATTTTGTTATAGATGTGTTTTCCATTATGTTTGGAGAACACTTGTGTATTTTGCATTGTAGAAGTTAACAATAGTATTTTTAAGTCGGTGTTTCAGACTTTCAGCTTAACTTTACACACTTGGAAAGCTTAAAGCTGAGGACAAGAAAAAAGTGCTCAAGATGTTTTTCCCGATTCCAAATTTTAAATGATGGACATTTATTAAACCGAAACATAAAAACTGGACTCTATTGACTCCATATATAAGAAGTGTATGTTTTGATCATATCTAAATGTAGAAAGAACATCGATATCATTCCTACAGACTAACCTGTTGCAAAGAGACGAATTGAAATCTTTTCCTTGCTTGCACATTCCTTTCCACTGTGTTGGGATAGGTCCCATGCCCTTGTCACTGAAACTAGCAGATTCTGGCCATATCCCTACCATATTCCCAAGTCAAACGTGTAGGTGGTTACATTTCTGGGTGTGTTACACGACATTATTATATTGTTAAGAAACATATGGTCAGTTGCGGAGCCAGAAGTCTAGTATTAGTGGGTCAAACATAAAATGTCAGCATATTTTTTATAGATTATAAATACTTGTACATACATATATGCATGAGATTTTTTTTCTTGGAGGAGCCGAGCTAGGCCCCCTCCATCTCCACCACTACATACGGTATTTCTATTTTATACATAAGAAAAACCTGTATCCAAGATGCCTATGATGGTGTCTGATCTAGTGGATGATGATGATGATGATTGACCAGAGTAAGGTGATCTTAGCTTGGAATAATCTTTTTTACTGGAAAATGATTGCAGGAAATCCCATGAACGAGTTGTATGTAGGTGGAGAACCGGGTCTGGGAAGACAGACACCACTCCGGGCTGTTGGGCAATGGATTGGGCTTCTTCCTCTGTCAACCGGGCCGCAAATCCTGAGAACCCATTTGTGTAGCTGTGCACCAATACCTCTCTTTTCCTGTACAGTGTACACCATACATGTGTGTTTTCACAAGCACTTTAGTACACTTGAATTGTGTTTTTCATTACTTTCTTGAGTTTCTTCATAATGCAAGTGTCAGCAACCGTGGGTATGAACTTTAAAGTTGCATTTCTGAGTTCACTTATTTGTGAAATCACATCACACTTTTTTAGCCATTTTGAACAAAATCACCACTTATTTGTGAAATCACATCACACTTTTTTAGCCATTTTGATCAAAATCACTCAATATTTGTCGCATGGTTTCTAGAAAACATATTGACTATAAAAATGTTAGGTAGTCTTTCACGGCTTACATTTCACCATGGTGTAATAACCCTTAGTCCTTTCTGATTAAATAGGTAAGTAATAGAAGTGAAAATAGTAAAATGATGATTTTATGGCCTAGCCAGGGGAGTTGGGGAGGATCTATGTTAAGCTATGATGAACTGAAACTCAGGGCAACTTAAAAATCATTCAATTTTTTATTGTAATAATTTCTATATTTCATATTTAGTCCATCCTACTAGTGCTTAAGCTCAATATAACTATTCCAAAATCCGCCATTGACCTGGCTCTGTGTCGATATACCAATATACTTTACATACCTTTTAATGACTGAGGTCATGAGGTGGGCTATGCCCGCTTCGACCGCATCATTTGATGATGAAGAGTCCACGGCAGCGCCCATGTAAACAATATAAACCCCGTTTTCCGTCACTTCGGACTGAGGAACAGCCGCCTTAGTAGATTCTCCTATAAGAGAGAAAATGAAGACAGACGCACGCATAAACAGAAGGAATGTCCTCATGCCAAACATGCACATAAGTATTAGTTACTCTCCAAAAGGCCCCTAATAGTAATGATTTTGAAGCTATGTTATTGATATTCTTAATTACTGCCCACAAATTAAGTCCCTCAATGTGTGTATATATAGTGAGGAGCTGTATTGGTGAAATTTTGGAGAGTGCTCAAACCATAATTAAGTTTTGTAGAATCATTATATTTAGCAACAGGTGGGCAGTATCCACCCAAAGTGGGAAGTTTCTTATCTCAATGCTCCACTTCTAGAGTGGTGGCGGCCGGGAAAATATGTGTGATTTTTTTAGCAAAAAACCACTCCTAACCGTTGATGAAAAGCTCAGAGTGTTACTTTGATAGGTAATAGAATAAGAGAATTACCCATTGCGGCCTACTAGTCATTTTAACTCGTAATAATGTCGCATTTGTCTCTTTATGTAGTGGGAAAAACATTATTGAGTGCATCTTCATCAAATGATTAATATATATTGGTAGGATGCATAGTCAAAATATTGTTGGATATGTATAGTATACCTCTTTTTTAATCTATGCTTTATTTCTCTAAGATTTTTTCCACAAAAAACTTCAACTTTGAACTAGAATATTATTGCTGATTTGTCTATTAAATTATATATTTGTCTATTATTAAAATTGCAATTACATTCACTCCAGATTTCATTGTGTAATTAATAAGTTTGCCATATCAAAATACACTTCTAGTGGAAAAAATCGTATGGAGGGACCTGTTAGGGCGGACTGCTTTTGCCTTTAGTGCTAAAAGATCTTAGGTGGGCAAATTTTTAATTTCATCGCACAATCATTATGTGTAATTAATAAAAATGACGTGCTTGTTTCCACATATTTGCTTAGTGTATTTTTTTTTAATTATGATCTAATAACTCGTGAGAATAATAATCACGTTTAACCGGATTTGTAGTCGTGACAGATGGTATTTATAATGAAAATAGCAGAGTTCAAATTACAAGATGAACTCTGCTATTTTCAAGGTTTACAACTCTTCTACAAGTGTGTTTTTGGTTGGTTCCAACCTGATTTTTATTTTTTATTTTTTGCATTTCAAGGTTTATAAGGTATAAGCATTTCAAAAAAGTAAAGAGACGTGTAACAGGAGAGCTCGGGATCTAAACCTAAACGGCGGCCGATTCTAGTTTTTTGTTCGGCAGTTATTCCTGACTTCGTCTGGTGGAGGATTTTCCGGCGCATGTGTTTGGTTTGATTCAACGGAGGTTCAATCTTTGTCACATGTGGGCTTGGCCGTACATGGTTTCTTCTTCCGCCATCAATTCCGCCAGACTATTTTTCTTGTTAAGCGGAGGGTCAAAAATGCTTGTTCTCCGGCGGCCTAAGGTTGTGCAGGGACAGAATACAGATGCTTGGTCTCTGGCGGCCAAAGATCGTGGACGAAGCATGGGGCTAGACGCCGGAACAAATTTGGATTCGAGGTCATCTGTGATAGGTGATGACAGAAGAGGCTTGGTAGAGAACACGATGAACAAAAAGCAAGGCGAGGAAGCAGCTACACTACCGCTGGATCGTCCCCCTCGTGAACCACCGCCATGAAGAGCAGGAGAGTCTACGATTTGGAAGCAACATTTTAATTTTACTGTTTGCTTGCTATTTACTTTTCATGATCAGACTATTTATTTTTTGTTGATTACATTTATTGTTGTAATACTCTTACATTAGGATTGGATGATGGGAGACCTGCTTTAACCATCGTTGGCTCATTTGCCCATTATAGGATCAGCGAGTCATTTTGCTTTTTTGAAAGTGATTGACTCTAAGTCTGGTTCGAGAACTGATGGTTGCTTGTGAGCCTTTTGTCATTTTACCCCTTATATGAATACCATGATATCAATTTAAGCCATCCATTTTGATGATAAAAAAATGTTATAAACATTTCAAGAGGTATAAATCCACTCAAAAACTAAAAAGGAAGGGATGGGGGGGGGGGGGGGGGGGTCAAGGAGGGCTAGAAAAGATAAAAAGTTAAAAAACATGATCACCTAATCTAACTGGAAATTGGTATGCCGGTGCCGGTCTTCGTTCAACACACCCACCTCCTAAGACCGGTTGGTTCTGGACCAGAACCCGCTCGAGTCCATTCCTAGTTAAAGGTGGACCCAGTTCCGATGTGAGAATATTTTGGGAAAAGTACTCCAATAGGAGTCCTAGTCTGTATATCTATAATAAAAAGAGTTCAAGACATACTAGGAAACAAATATGCCTAATAATATTCTATTACACTCCTTCAAACTGTGCGGGATATACAATGCGCAAGTTGTCTTTTAAAAAGTGAAATTGCCGACTACAAAGATTTTTAGTAAAACTATCAGCTAACTGTAATTGAGTGGGGATGTACTTCACAACTAAGTCTCCATGAGCTACACGTTCTCGGACAAAATGATAGTCTATCTGAATGTGTTTGCTTCGAGCATGCTGAACTGGATTTGCAGTCAAATATGAAGCAGATATATTATCACAAAATAGCTGAACTGGAACTGTAACTGGGTAACCAAGCTCAAAGAGAACTGAACGAATATGTAATGTGTCTTGGACAGTGTAGGCAACAGCTCGATATTCTGCTTCGGTAGAGGACTTGGAGACGGTGGGCTTCTTTTTGGACTTCCATGAAATGAGATTGGGCCCTAAAAACACTGCAAAACCACTCGTGGATCGTGACTTATCAGGACAACCAGCCCAATCGACATCTGAGTAGGCAATAATACAAGAAGCTTGCGAGGAAGGCTGAAGCCACAACCCATGATCCAATGTCCCTTGTAAGTATCTAAAAATACGCTTGACTGCAAAAAGGTGAGTAGTGCGAGGAGCATGCATAATCTGAGACACTAAATGCACAACATAAGTAATATCAGGTCGTGTCAAAGTTAAATATTGTAATGCACCAACCATACTTCGATACTCAGTAGCATCGGCAAGGAGTTCACCATCAGTGAGAGAGAGAGAGGTGCGAGTAGCTAATGGAGTACGCACAGACTTAACAATGTGAAGATGAAAACGGGTGAGAAGATCAGACACATATTTATGCTGAGAAAGAAACAAACCTTTGGCTGATCGAGCAGCCTGGACTCCCAGAAAATAATTAAGATCACCTAGGTCTTTCATAGCAAAATGTTTTGCAACAAGCTGAATAAAGTAATAATAATGTCATCAACATATAATAGTAATTAAATAACATTATTATTATGGCGAAAAATAAATAAGGAATTATCAGACTTGCTGCACGTAAACTGATGAGATAACAGAAAACTACTAAACCTATGAAACCATGCACGCGGGGCTTGATTAAGACCATAAATGGCTTTTCACAATCTACATAAATGATTAGGAAACAAAGGATGAGTAAAACCCCGCGGCTGACACATATAAACCTCTTCAGTGAGGTGACCATGTAAGAATGCATTTTTGACATCAAGCTGACGAATAACCCACCCAAAGGAAATAACTAAAGTAAGAACAATACGAACAGTGGTGGGTTTAATGACCGGACTAAAAGTTTCAGAAAAATCTACACCTGCCTGTTGATTAAATCCTTAAGCAACCAGACGAGCTTTATGACGCTCAATAGACCCATCAGAATGAAATTTTGTCTTATAAATCCACTTAGAGCCCACAACATTTTTAGTGTGATCAAACGGGACTAGATCCCAAATTTTATTAGAAATAAGAGCATTAAACTCCTCGGCCATCGCCTGACGCCATTTTAACTGTTTATTTGCCTCAGAAAAACAAGTAGGATCAGCTGATAAAACAACAGTGTTTAAATTAAAAATGGGTTTTGGTTTAAAAATTCCCGATTTTGATCGGATTTGCATGGGGTGAATGTTGACTGGCGGTGTGGGGCTAGGGGGAGGAGGACTTTGTTCGCTCCTGGATTCACGGTCAGACAAAACACAAGAGGAAGGGGAGTAGGGCGTGGCTGAGGTCGTCGGAAGGGAGAGTCTGGGCTCGGTGGTAGGTGTGTGCGGAGGGGTGTTGGGTGGTTGCGTAGTGGGTTGGGTGAAGTTCGGGGTTGGTGGTGAAGAATAATGGGGCAGTCAAGGGGTGGAGGTGGGGAGTTCAGGGTTTATGGGAGCAGGTGGAGGAGCTGTGATCAATGGCAAGCTAGGAGAAGTGTTGATGGTGACATCAATAGGAGTAGAAGGAAAAGATATATGACCCGTAGACGAAGACAATATGGCATAGGGAAAAACTATTTTTATGAAAGCGAACATGTCTACTAATAAAAACTTTGCCTGACTTGGGCTCCAGACAACGATATCCTTTATATCCATATGCATAGCCAAGAAAAACACATTGAACAGAACGTGGAGAAAGTTTATTTGAAGAGGAAGCAGAAAAATTGGGATAACTGATATTCATGTAATTTCCGATTGTATGTTTGTATTTTTAACTAGTTTTTATTAGTTCTAGTTGAGGAAATTACACACTTTTGGTGTAATACTTTATTTTCATATTTATTTGTAATTTGTTTAGATTAGGACTTTTCTGAGCTAAACAGGTCAAAGATCATCCAAGGGATCAAGATTGGACCTTAAAAGATCAAGGAAAGTGCAAGGAGGCAAGAAAGATTTCGATTTGGAAAAAATACTCATGTACCCGGTCGGGTATTGCCTATACCCGATCGGGTATTTGCTTGATTCGATTGTCCAAATCAAATCCGGGAACAAATGATCGTGGGAGCAAGATTTCGTTAAGATTTGTCATATACCCGATCGGGTATGCCGACATACCCGGTCGGGTATGCCCAGAAAAGTGACTTTCTGGGAAATTTCCTAAGATACCCGGTCGGGTATCCTATATACCCGGTCGGGTATCAGTCCCTGCAGCTCCCAAAAGCCTATAAATACACCCCTTTCCTTCACAATAAAAGAACCAATTCCTATATACTTCTAAGCTCAGTCTAGAATAGTTCTTTCTTTATATTTTCATCATGTTTAGTCTCCAAATGAGGAGCTAAACTCTTCCATCTTGGTTTTGCTACTTTGAAGCTTAATGAATTTGTAAGTTGTGAGTTATTCTTTTTAATTTTGTTCCTTGAATATTAATTCTTCCTTTAAATACTATTTCTATATCAATGTCGGGGAGTGTTACTAAGATGACAATTAGTTAACATCTTGACATTAGTTATAGTAATAGTTATTTCTTCCTCTATGTTAATATTGGGGAGTGTTACTAAGATGACAATTAGTTAACATCGTGATATTAACTATAGTAGGATTCATACTCTTTAATATTCTTCCTTGAGTATTAATTAATTCCTATTCATATTTCATATTAATATTTTGAACATTACTTAAAGGATCAACTAGTTTTGTTTCATATATTAATTATTACTAGAATCAATCGATTAATACGCTTGTTATTAATTCGGTTCCTTCAACGGTAGTAAACTTGGATTGTTAATGCATGCGTCTCATGATTAATAATCTAAGGGGAATTAATTATATTGATTAAACCAATAAACCGCTTGTGTTGAGGTTATCAATCTCAATCGTTTTCAACTCAAGTTTATTGCTACTATCGTGTTAATATACGGCGCGTGTTCTAATTGACTCGGTAGTAAGTTTTATTAATGAACGCGTCTCGTTATTAATAACTACCCTCGATGAACTGGATATACTCCTCGATTGAGTATTCGAGAGGAAGATAGATAAAGATATAACCGGGATCGACGAACATTTCATTAAGTGGATAAAAGCAAAACCAAGTCCTCATCTCTATAAATTAAACTCATATAAGTCGTTTATCTTAGTCTTAATTAAATTTAATCAAATCAAACTTAAAACACCCCTTGTTACTATTTATATAAAAGAAAAGTATTTCTTTCCCTGTGGATACGAACCTTACTTCACTATACTACGTATTAGTGTTGTATTGATAAATTATTTTGAGTGCACCTCACGACAAGTGCACGTCAATAACACACGCACCCAAACACACATAATAAGCTATAATCAGGAGGTCGTTGAAAAAGAATGTCATATGGAGAGACACCAAAAAGATTAGGAGTAGGAAGCCTGTTAATTATATATGCAGCAGTAAAGATAGCATCAACCAAAATGGTGCTAGGAATAGAGGCTGTGAGAAGCATAGTCCTAGCAAATTCTAAAAGATGTAGGTGTTTGCGTTCTGCAACACCGTTTTGTTGTGGAGTATGAGGACAAGATTTTTGAAAATAGATGCCATCGTCAGAAAAAAAATGTTGCGTAGGAGAATTAACAAACTCATCCCCTCCATCACTTTGAAAAATTTTAATTTTAGTATTAAATAAATTTTCAACTAAAATTTTAAAGGAACGAAACTGAGAAAAAACTTCATTTTTAGTGCGCAAAGGAAAAACTCAAGTATAGCAAGAAAAATCATTGATAAAGCACACATAATATTAAAACCTAAATTAGAAAGGAAGGGGATTGCCACACATCAGAATGAATTAATTGTAACGGTGCAGAAGAAGTATGACTAGCATCCGAAAAAGGTAATCTTTGAGATTTGCCCAAACAACAAGAAACACAATCATGTTCAAAATTTGAGGAACTAGAAATAAGTTTTCTACTACGCAACAGGCGTAAAACAGTTTCGCTACAATGTCCTAATCTACGATGCCACATAGGGCCAGAGGTAGTGATGGAAGCTAGAGATAGAGGTGAAGTCGTACTGAGGCTGACAGGATAGAGATGACCATTATGCCTCGCCTGAAGAAGAACTGCCCTCGAAGTTTTGTCCTTTACAAAAAAATAGTTTTTATCAAAAACAACAACACATTTGTTATCAGCACACAATTTTTGAATGGAGATTAAATTGAATTTAATTCGAGGCACATGAAAAACAGTTCGTAGTGTC